TAGATGTTCTTAGAAAACAAAATTATAGTTACTTTAACTCTTTTCATTGATATCTATGTATTTCAATATAATTTTGTGATAACCTTTGTGAAATTAATGATTCTCTCAGTTCCACTTAATTTTAGCATTGTTTCAGCTACAAATTGACATTTATAGGCATTTTTTGCTGTTCTATATAAAGCTTCCATATTATTCTATGTGTTTTTATTTCGCACTAATAAGAATCAAAAAGCAAAATGAGATTTTAAAACTCTAATGCATTGAGCGATAGCACAGCGGGTAGGGCGTCTGCCTTGCACGCAGCCAACATGGCCGACCCGAGTTCGATTCCTCCGCCCCTCTCGGAGAGCCCAGCAAGCTACTGAGAGTATTCGATATGCCAGACACAGTAACAACAAAGTCTCCAATGGAGACGTTACTGGGCCTGCTCGAGCAAATCGATGATCAACGGGAGGGCCTTTACCTTTAATGCATTGATGGGGTAATGTAATGTGTTTTCTATTTCACGGTGAATTATAAAAGGGTATAACAGGGTCTGAGAGATAGCACAGCAGGTAAGGCACTTATTTTGCATGAAAAAAATCCAGTTTCGATCCATGGCATCCCATCTGGTCCCTGAAGTACCACCAAGAGTGAGCCCTGAGCACAGGGTCAGGTGCAAGTTTTGAGCACAGCTGAGTGTGGCCTCCAAAAAACGGAATAGCAGAAGAATAAATAAAAACTGAAATACTGACAAATGTTCTTTATAAAGTTAACAAAGTATATACATAGATTTTAGTCACTCAGCTTGCTGTAGATTTTTATAAATGCACTCTTAGTTAATTCCATGCTATTGGAGAAAATGTTGTGAATTCTTTAAATTTTGAAAAAATGAGTAATATATCTTTTCTATATTTCAAAATAATTGAGATTTTAATTGATTAATTAAAAGATAACACTTCTATCTTATCTATGTTTATATTGTTTCTACATACTACTAATATGAGGCAAATTACTAATGTCAAATATTTTCACTTATATGAAAGAACTAGCATCAATTTCCGAGGAAAACAGAAATACAGTGAACACTAATAAAAATATAAAAGCAGCAGCCAATATTAAGCTCTGACTAAATGCTAAGCACATTACCTATTTCAAATTAACTACTGCGTTAAAAGAGAGGATATCACTATCTTTCCTTTGCCGACTGAAATTGAGGTTCTGAGAGCTTTGAGTAATTTTCATATGCTATTAGATAGTGCAGTTAAAAGACAAATTCATATTTTTTCAATAACATAAGAATGTTACCTCACAAGTATTAGCTTTCCATGGATGGAAATAAAGCTAATTCCATATAGTAAAATAAAATCTCCATTTTACTTTAAAACCAAATTTATGCACTTACATTTTAGAGACAATGCTTATAGGTATTATTCTGTTAACTATTCGAAATATTTGAAAGACCTGTTTCCATTGTAGATGTCATTGAACCTTAAGCATTTTTCAATCAATCACCTGTTTACCTAAAGTTTCCTTTTTCTCATTTCTGTGTAGGCATTGGGAATTTTTAGTGTTGTTAAATTAATACCGGGAATATAATCTTTATTTGTTTTATTTTTTATCTACTTATTTAGGAACTGCAAGCAGTGCTTACAGAATCTTCTCCCATCAATATGGCTAACAAAGCTGACTGTTCAAAGATCCGGCTGAATGATGTGTTTCTGCTCTGTCCCTGTAATATAGGAAACACGAGGGCACTCTGGGCAGTTCTTAAGAGTTTTGGGGGCTACGCTCAGTGATACTTAGGTGTCCTAGCCCCTGAACTATTTTTCCACCACAATTTAATATATTTAGATTCCTCCACACTTGTGCCTACATATTGATGATCACTATATTAGCCTGGGGGATTGTTCCTTTTGATCATAATTTAGTGTTCTTTTTTGTTTCATTGCCTTTATTTGTCGAAGTTTTTTTCATCTAGAATGAGTGTAGCAGGTCCTGCTCTTTTCGCTCCATATTGTCTTGAAACACCTTATTCCATTATTTAACTCTAAACACTGTATTCGTCTTTTTATTGAACATGAGTCTTTTGAATACATGGTAAGTAGGGATTCTGCTTATTGGTCAGTCAAGGTATTGTTTCTTTTGATTGGTGAGTTTAAAGTATTCAAATTTGGGGTAATTAGTGATAAATATGCCTTCACTACAATTCTGTCTTTTATTTTCTGTCTTAGATCTCTGTTCTTGCCTTTTTCCCTCTTTTTTCTACCTGCCTTTTCATTTAGGCATATTCATTTCCTCAGGTAGAAAAAAGTCACAACAAATGAAATGGACTGATTGTTTTACTATTTATTATTCTTATAAATAATTGAGTAAATTCATCTCAATTCTTAATAACTAAATTTACAAACATGCATTGCAAAGTTCAACGCTGAGTTATCATTTGTCCTCATATCAGATAAATGTGCCCATTATCAATTTTCAATGAAACAAGCCTCTTTTTTTAAATTAAAATTTTGGGTTCTAAGGGAGCTATAATCACTTAACAGGTAAATACATATTTATAAAAATTTTCCTCGAATTAAATTTATTGGCAAGGACTGGAAAGACAAATAATGATTTCATGAAAGTGATTGCTTTAACATAAAAATGAAAGAAAAATTAAATAAATGAAGTACAGTTAACTGATTTCTATTTTATCTCTTATGCATAGAAATATTTATTTTTTATTTTGTGTATTTTTCTGGTTTTTGAAGTTCTCAGAGTAAAGCCAATAAAGTAAATAAATGTCAGTAAATACATTTTCACCTCTTTATAATGAGTGATAATCTTTCTTTAATTTTTCTTACAAAGTACTTAGAGGCTAGAGAATACAGAAAGTTATTGAATATATGTCTACAAACTTTATTAATTACTTTTCTGATTTAGTTTATATTCTTATATAAATTTTTCTGAGGGGATATTCCTGATATAATAGTGGTTATGAAAATTGACAATTGATTATTCTCAGCTTTTTACCATGTTAAATAAATTGATAAATTATTTGATTTGGTGGGGGTTCAGCACACCAAGAGCTTCTTACACCTTACTCCTGGTTCTGAGCTCACTCATGGTGGACTCAGAGAACTTTAAGGGATGCCAGGACTCAAAACTGAGTAGGCCACATGCAAGGCAAACGCTGTTCCCACTATAGTATACCTCTGACTCCTGAGAAAATAATTGAAGTTGCATTTCTAAGTAAATAATATAAAGTCATCATGGCAAACTAAAACAATACAACAGGAACAACTATAATAAAAATCCTAGAAATTAGAAATATACTAATATCCTTACAATTTTCAAGTGATTTAATCATGTTTTATTTAATATTTCTTTTTTATGATGGATATAGAGCATCTTCTTTGGGGTTGGGATAGTGTATAGAATTAGTCTTTTGCTTTCCATGCTATTGACTGGAATATGATCCCTGACTGCCTATTGTCCCTTGAGGACTACTGAGTGCTCCAGACACCTCTGAGAACAGAGCCGGGGAGTCGTCCCTGAGGAGCACCAGGTGTTGCTCAAAACTAAAAAATTTTAAAACAAAGAATTTTTTTTTCTTGTAGAATTATATTGAGGATTAGAAGAAATTCCAAAAGCACCCATGCACAATCTTAAAATATCATAAACTTTTATTTTCCGCATAAGTTTCTTCTAAAAATGTGTAGAAATAATGGTTATACAAATCTTGACAACTAATTTCATGATAATGCTGATAAAAATAATTGACAATATTTTAGAATAATTCAATGAATAATTTAAACATCTTTAATATAGGTTTTCCATTATGTATTACATATGATACAAAGTATTGTATGTATGATTACTGGTTACTGGGGGGAAACAGAATATAACTTAATCTAAAATATTCTAGGCTTAAACAAAATAGAAATGATTTATGGGTTGCCAAAAGAATAATAGAAAAGGAAAAAGATTATCATTAAGTATCTAAATTATACTTATTATTTCATAGATACGATATTGTAATTTTATTTATAATTTTACATTTTAATACTCTATTAGTAGTCTGAGTGTAAAGATATAGGAAAGTGAATTTTCAAGCTAAAAGAAAATTGTGACTTTTGACTAATGTGACTGATATTTCATATATTGCTTTAACTTGTTCTTGCACTTCCAGTATTCACAATATAAATATGCAGAGATTGATTTGAAAGTAATGCAGTTTAAGCATATGATTTTTGAAGTAAATACAATTGAGTATAACACTAGCATAAACTAAATTATTTCTACACAGCATAGCATATTTATAGTAAGTTTTTAATATAATACTAAATATTTATTTAATAAATTCCTGTAACAAATACAACTTGAAATATTACATGGTTCATAATATCAATTTAACGTATAGCATTCTAAAATTTGGGCAAAAGTTTATTCTATCCTTAATGATTCAGAAGAACTTATACTTACCAGAATGACTTTCCGTCATCCAAAATAGAAATATCCCTTTTTAATTAAAAAAGCTTAATATAGTTATTTTTGTTCTTATTTACTAAGAACTAATTATTTTTGACATTATAAAACACTTCACATTTCTTTACAAGATTTTTATGCTTTATAAAAGAATGAAATGGTATTGAATTCAGTGTACTTCTTAAGATACTCATACAATAGTAATATTTGTACTCAAGGTCAAGTTTATTTTATATATCACATTGCTTCTTAAATGTTGATGAATGTTTTATTATTTTCCCACGTTTTAAAATTATTTTTTCTATTTTTATTTATAGGTAAAAATAAGTCATTACATATGTATTTTATATATTTAAGCATAAGCATTACAGTAACATCACCTCTTTCTACTGAAGGACAGCACATGTATCTAAGCTATTTATTAACAGTAACAAAAATTTCAACATATTCTATTGTTCATTCTAGCATGTAGACAGTTTAGAGCTTAAATAAAAATAAATTGCAGATTCTATTTATGCATAATTTATCAATGATGTTATTTCTTACAGGAATGACTTGTCAAGCTCGAACATCATATACTGAAGATGAAGTTCTTTGGGGTCATCGTTTTTTCCCGGTAATTTCCTTAGAAGAAGGATTTTTTAAAGTTGATTATTCCCAATTCCATGCAACATTTGAAGTCCCTACTCCACCCTATAGTGTAAAGGAACAGGAGGAAATGCTTCTTATGTCATCCCCTTTAATAGCACCAGCCATTACTAACAGCAAAGAAAGACATAATTCTGTGGAATGCTTAGATGGGCTTGATGACATCAGTACAAAACTTCCATCTAAGCTGCAGAAAATTACTGGAAGAGAAGACTTTCCAAAGAAACTCTTGAGGATGAGTTCTACAACTTCAGAAAAAGCATATAGCTTGGGAGATTTGCCCATGAAACTCCAACGAATAAGTTCAGTTCCTGGCAACTCGGAAGAAAAACTGGTTTCAAAAACCACCAAAATGTTGTCTGACCCCATGAGCCAGTCAGTGGCTGATTTGCCACCAAAGCTTCAAAAAATGGCTGGAGGAGCAGCCAGGATGGAAGGGAATCTTCCAGCAAAATTAAGGAAAATGAACTCTGATCGATTCACATAACAAAACATCCACTTAGGCATTATTTACTCTTTGATTTAGTCACAGTCCAATATTTGGCTAATGAAACAATCTTCTCTAAGAAATCTGAGAGGTGCATTTTTTCCTACAAGTCATATGTGCATATTTGAGAATTTTTCCCAAATATAGCTGTATTCAGAAAGCAAAAGTTGTGAAGGGAGAACATCCTAAAGTTCTTATTAACAGGCATGTATTTTCCCATCAAGCATGCAATAATGTTCATATTTTGCATTTAGTTTTATGGCATGATTTATATATGGTATATTTATATTGTATATTCTGGAAATATATATATTTAAAGGAGTGATACTCTCCATTACATTTCTAACATATGTATTAAGCCAAACATGAGTGGATAGTTTTCAGGGTGATAAAATTATATATTTATATATATACACATAAATACAGGTATATGTATATATATTCAGACACACACACATACATATATATCTGATAAAATTGTGGTGTTTTGTTCAAAGTTGTAGTTCTTGTGCATGTTTATTAGGCTAGGATGGCTTCTGGCATTAATTATTAATACCAAATATTTTAGCCTTAAATTATTTGTCAGTTAAAAATCTGATTTAATGTTTTCTGATGTTTAAGGTTTTGGGAGATTTTCAAATGTACTTTATATGAGAGAATCATACAAGTCTGTGCTATTTATGCCCTGCAAAAAATTAATAATAATCACTGTATAGTTGTAAATTTTAGAGCATATCAATATACTGAAAATTTCTTATGACTTTTAAATACTGCTATATCTAGAAAAATAATCATCAATTAATTTGAGGATTGGTCTTTATCTGAGCTAACTAAAATATAGAAATAATTTTATATATGATCTAATGCAAATATGAGCTCTGAACAAATGTGTAATCATTGTAATCATCAGTAGCCAATTTATATTAAATATATCAAAATCTATGTGGTTACATAAGTAATGTTCCTTGTTTTAAGTTGAGTTCATTGGTAATTTTTAATTTTCTTTTACTTTTCTGAAATTTCTGTTATTTGAATAACTAACAGTTTATCTCTGAAAGAATGCAACACTGCACTGAAAAAATGATAAATATTCATGCTTAGAATATGTGTGTCTAGTTAAAGATTTTTTACTGTAATTACTTTTTAAAGTAATCTCTTGTTAATGACATTTGTTGTTTAACAGGACATATTTTTTTTCTCATCTGGGAACCTATCCCACCCCATTCTCATCACTCAGTTCAGCAGGAATTCCTGAGAAACTTTTTAATTAGATTAAACTATTTGGGTCATAGTTTTTGTTTTCTTTTGTCTGGTAAACATTGATATTACAAAATCTTAGCTCTGTGTCTTACCAAATTAATTTCAACACTCTTTTTTCCAACCCCAAGGTCTGATATTTAAGATTCAGTGGGGATTACAACTATTGCTCAGTTAGAACACCTGAACAATAAAAATTGGAAATGCAGTTTTATAAAACTTATAGGTGATCTTCATGGATTTTCTTATTCTTTTGGCATTTCAATCTAAGTTTGTTAAAATTTTACCTATTTCCTCTCATTAATATGTAAAACTTTAATGGCTGGTTTAGACCCCCATTACCTTTTTTAACAAACTTGTGATGATTTTCTTATTAGAAAATAATTATACCAACAATTCTAACATTGATTATAGTAATACCTTCTGGCTACCTCTCTATCAATCAAATTCTATAGGTGCAAACATATACCAGGGAATTGTTATTGACATAATGATCAACTTTGAGAATCCATCCACTGTGAGGAGAGCTGGTTACCTTACCCCTTGATCTTCAAACTTTCATATTTTCTAGACTTATAAAATAAAATAACAATAACAAACATAGAAGGGGTCTCAGGGGCATGATCTAGTCACTAGCAGCAGAAGAAACTGCATAGACCATTAAGGCCAACCATTTAGAAATAAGTAGAGCCATAACTAAATTTGGATAATAGTTTAAGATTATCTTTGGTACCAAGGAGAATATGAGGCCAAATTCTCATCTCTGAATATACTAGTGCATTCAAGAAAATTTTGCATGTATTTTATGTCTTAGGCATTTTATCTCCTTGTGATTTCTATTATGACAAAGTGAGAGAAGGCCACTGATCATTTGAAACCTATTGTATGTATGACGGTAAGGCACCGTGGAGACACACAGGAGCAAACATAATTATTTCAGAGAGTTAAACTATAAGCAGAGTGGAAAACAGGATATGATGATAGAAATATGTCAAGTGGAGTAAGAAATATTATACGAGAGATAACTGACTCGTGGAGATGATTGATACCTGATTGATACTAGAAAACTGCTGTTTCCAAAAATTTCTTTAATGAAAGCTTTTCTTTTCTTGAATGAAAGCTTTGTCTTTTCCACATATAAATGGGAAAGATATCATTTTTACATGTAATTGCAGTTTAAACCTTACTGATAAGTTAATTATAGGTCCCAGTTTACCTAGAAAGGTTCCGTTTTTACCTGTTGTACCTGTGAAATGATTAATAGCACTCACTTTTGGTATGTCCTGGTTTGGATGACATTTGGTGACTGTATGTTTTTGTTGAAACTAAATTATGAAGTCTGGCATATTTGGATAAAAAATAAAGAATTTCCTTTTCTCTTTTGCTGGTTTATTTTACACTGATAAATACTAGTTGATTTTACACTGATAATTACTAGATAACAATCATATATATATATATATATACACATATATATATTCAGCCTGAAGTTCTCTTATCAAAGTGACACATATAGGGGCCAGAGAGATAGCACAGAGGGTGCGGCGTTTGCCTTGCACACGGCTGACTCAGGTTCGATTCCTAGAATCCCATATGGTCCCCTGAGCACTGCCAGGAGTAACTTCTGAGTGCAGAACCAGGAGTAACCCCTGTACATCACCATGTGTGACCCAAAAAGGAAAAAAAAGTGACACATATAACAGTTATTTAAGATGTATATGACATGTTTTCTCAACAGCGGAAAGTTAGGCATTTTATTGATTGATCTATGAATAGAATCCATTTCTGTGTTATTTTAGAAAGTTTTCAGAGCTCTAAACAAAGATATCAGAAGTCCACTAAAGCCAAGAAAATTTCTGCCTCCTAATGTCAGGACTATTGAAAAGCAAAATGTATTAATCCTATTTAACTGGAAACAAGTTCTCTATTTATAGGGTTTTATCATAGAGTTTCTGTCAGGATAGAAAAATGATTTTATAAAAATGACAAAAAAATTTAATAAGGCTTTTCTTTCGGTTTCTATATTGATCCTTCTCAGCAATATGATTGTACATTTATAAACGTATACCAAATTACAGATACGAATATTTAATCGTTAATTTTCTGAAAAAATATACAGGCTATTTTAAATTAATGCTTGTAACAGTTTCATCATGAAAAGTATTTAATCTTTCAGTTCTCAAGATTCTTGAGAGACATGGAGAGAGAGAGAGAGAGAGAGAGAGAGAGAGAGAGAGAGAAAGAGAAGAAAGGTATCTGTATAGAGGCAGATGGGAAGTGGGAAGACAAACTGGGGGCATTGTTAGTGGGAAATGTATACTGGTGACGTGTTTTGAAACTTTGTGTGACTGAAACACAATCATCAACAACAACAACAACAAAAATGTTTTCTTTTTTCTACATGGGATGGAACCAAGTGGATTAATCCTACTGAAGGAAGACAGATTAGGGTGAAAGTAGCTTATGTTCTGATTGTATTTCTACCACTGAAATGGTAGATTCCTACCATTTCATAGTAAGGAGAGATTTCATTTCATTTTATTTTATTTTATTTTTAATTTTATTGAATAACCATGAGATAGTTTCAAGCTTTCATGTTTGGGTTACAATCACACAACGATCAAACACCCATCTCTCCACCAGTGCACATTCCCCACCACCAATATCCCCGGTATAACCCCTTTTCCCACTCTCCCCCTGCCTCCATGGCTGACATGATTCCCCATAATCTCTCTCTACTTTTGAACATTATGGTTTACAATACAGACCTTGAGAAGTTATCATGTTTGGTCCTTTATCTACTTTCTGCACACATCACTCATCCCGACCGATTCCTCCAACCATCTTTTTCTTAGTGATCCCTTCTCTATTCAAGCTGCCTTCTTCCCTTTGCTCATGAGGCACACTTCCAGCTATGGAGCAATCTACCTGTCCCGTGTCCTCATGTTATGTTGTTTTATACTCCACAAATGAGTGAAGTCCTACTATGTCTGGTAAGGAAAGATTTTAGCTTGTTCATGCAACACACTTGTAAGCTCTACTTCAGAATTTAAACTTGCATTATATTGTATGTAATCTAACTAATATGCAATGAATTGCAGATTTTTGACAATATAATCTCACATAATTAATATTTGAATTTTCAGTTTTTGAAACTACATTAAAATTTCCAATTTAATTTGGTTTAATTTTTAGAGGTTACATTTTCCTAATATTTTTACATATCTGTCTAAGATATCAAATCAATGTTTTTTCAAAGTTAGTTACTGTCTGAAAATAATTTATGAGAATTTTGTGTTCCTATAGGCTGGAGTGATAGCAGATCAGGTAGGGTGTTTGCCTTGCATGCAGTCAACCCAGCCAACCTGAGTTCGATTCCTCTGCCCCTCTTGGAGAGCCCGGCAAGCTACCGAGAGTATCTTGCCCACACGGCAAAGCCCAGCAAGCTACCCGTGATGTGTTCGATATGCCAGACATAGTAACAAGTCTCACAATGTTACTGGGCCTGCTCGAGCAAATCAATGAACAGGAGACAGTGCTACAGTGGTATTGTGTTCCTATATTTGGATCAGTTCATTTCTGTGAACTATCTAAATATCATTTTTGAAATTCTAGTTAATCACTCACATTTCTAGCTTCAGTCTATTTCTCACTGGACTCTTTCCTCCTAAAGTAATTACTGAATCCGTCACAGTCACTCCACAAAGTTACTTTTTTATTTTAGCTCCTATTTGTGAAGTACTATAGTGATATTGAACCTGAACTCTTCATACCGACTGAGACTTGCATTTCTCAGAGGAAACATCGTGACCATCTTTCTCTTTGTCAAACAAGTGTTGCAGATCCACAGTAAGTATAGCAGAAAAATACATCATTTTCCTAATTTTTATATGTCAACTTGTCTAGATATTAAATCAGCATTTTTTCAAAGTAAAAACATTTTTACTGCCTGAAAATAATTTATGAGAATATTATGTTCCTATATTTGGATCAGTTCATTTCTGTGAACTATCTAAATCTGACCTCTTGCAGAATTCATTTTAAAAACCAACTTTCTGGAGTTTCTGGCCTCATGGTGTTCCAGGAAGATGGTCTTCAAACAGTAACATTTTCCTATGTCATTTTTTAAAGCCTGGACAGTTCTTTTTGAAGTCATAGCTGTTTTTGAACTATGTTTGATGGGTAGTTCATGATAATCTAGACCAGAGACACCCAAACTTATCTAGCCTACCACTCATGTTTCTGAAAAAGAAAAACAAATTACTGTACAACACCTTGGAAACCTACCTTCTTTAAGTGGACAAAAAGAAAGTGTCACTCACCTGAAGCTACTTCTTTTTACCCTGAGGGGAGGTTCTACCTACCTTGAGAAAGACCACTCTAGATAATACTAACACAAACAGTAGGGCCCATTGTTTTCTTAGTGCTTATTAAACATTCAATGTATTTTGCATCTATTGTCCATATGTTGAATCTCTATGGAGAAGTGGCTCAGTGGAGGAGCACACGCATTTCATGTGTGTAACTATCCCCCAATACTGAAAAAATAAGTATAACCCTTGTTCATCATTTCCCAGTTCTGCAAGTCAATCACTTGTGGGTTGATTTTTTTCTATTATTTTCTTTGTTTGGGGGTCACACCCAGTTGTACTCAGAGATAACTCTGCAAAGTGCTCAACGGACCATATGTGTTGCTGGGGATTAAACCCAGGTCAGCTGTGTGCAAGGCAGATGCCTTCCCTATTTTATTATCTCTCCAGACCTTAGAGGAGGATTTTGTTCTATCTTCCCAGTAACGCTACAAAGTAAAGATCCGTTTACACATGAAGAAACTGATTTTCTGAGGAAAATGTAGTTAAATCAAGTCCAAAAATATCAATAGCCATACCCTTCCTGGTTCTGTTGTTAGTTACATGTGAATGCTTAACCATTTTTAATGCTTAACCATTCTTAATAAATGAATTAAACATAGTCCTACTATGACCATTCTTAATAAATAACTCTACCCTCCCTGGTTCTGTTGTTAGTTACATGTGAATGCTTAACCATTTCTTTGATTTTACATTGAGGGAGTTTTCAGTTTATTTGTTTTAAATTGTGGTGGATGAAGATCTGATTCTATCTCAACTTTTACTAACCACAATAATTACACCATATCTAGTCTACCCTTAATTTCCAAAATTTTATTTTATTTCATTATATTTTGGTTCTTAGCTCACACACAGAAGTGCTCAAGGATTGGTCCTGGCACAGCACTCAGGAATTAATTTTGGCAGGGCTCGGGGGATAGTATGGAATGCCAGGGTTGGAATCCTGGCATCCATGTGCAAAGGTCAACCATGTACAAAGCAAGTGCCCTAACCATTGTACCATCTCTCTGGTTCCGTTTATCTTGTCTAAATTTGACTATCAGTGTGTGCGCTCATGTTTAATTTTAACTGAGCTCATCATTTGATCATTTTCCTCATTCTACACCCTTTTCCTTCATGTATTTTTTTCATTACATATATACTTATCACTAACTCAGCCACATAACTATTTCTCAAATGTAAATATTTATTATTAATTCATTAAGTACACAGAATATTAGATCTATCTTATCTTTTTGAAGAAATTTCTACCAGCTTTCTAACATGCCCAATTGTGCATGTATCTTTGTCTACTGTGCAGATACTAGTCAGGAGAAAATTCCATTTATCTCAGTTTAGTGGAGAACCCCTTTTCAATAAATATATTTTTATGTCCCTTGATTCACGATTTAGCAATTTATAAGAAAGAAAAATATGGACATATATTCTCTGAAATGTTTATATTTTTATATAAATTCATCTCTCCTTTACAATCAATATTAATAGTTTGGTTTTAGGCTTACATTACTTTCCTTCTGATGTTCTCTGAAACTTTTACATTTTCCCTAATTTCTAATGTTGCTATAAAGATATTTGTTGCTCTTCAAATTTTAATCCTTTGTGTAAAAATTGGTTTCTCTTCTCTGGGACATTCTAATGTTCCCAGTGTTCTAAAATTTAAAATTTTCTGCTTTAGTGTGGGCCAGTTTTAATCCATTTTTGGTGTTCCATTTAAATCTGGAAATATGTTCTTAAGGAACATTTTTTAAAACTTTCTCCCAATTTCTTCTATTTCTTCTTTTCAAATTGTGTATTATTTGGATCTTGGAACTCGGAATTTTCTAATATTCTAGTATTTCCATTTTAGTTATTATTGCTTTGAAATTTTCTCTATTAAAATTATTTCATACTCTACAACTTTAATTTTGTTTATTTAGTTGATATCACATATAGTCTAAGTTTTTTCCTTCTATAATAGCTTTGATTTATAAGAATTGTTTGGCTTTCTCTTAGCATTTCTTTTTTTTTTAAGG